ATTAAGCCTGATTATATAAGTTATTATTTTATTAATTATAAAGTTTACTAAATTTAGTTATTATGTATTTGGCTGCTTTAATTGTTTGTATATTGTATTTGCCACATGATACGCTATGTGAAACTAATTCAACTGATAAGGGTAAGTGCCATTTTAATTTATACATAGATGCAACAAGCTAGTTTTTAGCTAATTAACTAGGGTGTCCACTTAATGAGAATATACTTACACATAAATATTTGTTTTATTAGTAATTTATCGTCAAATTCAAATTAATATACAATATAATGAATTTGTTTTTTTTGATGACTTATAGGTCCTATCATAATACCACCCTGGGACATATTACTGTATAATGACAGTTTTACGTATGAGTACAGTAACGACCGAAAAGTGGACCTGTATTGCACTTTTCCCCGAACCAATTACACCACATTATACTCGATTAAAATATATAAAAACACAACCATCTTATACTCGATAGATATGACAAACAACAATGGTGAGTCGGGTGAACAAGGGCAAAAATAAGCAATAGCATACTGATAATGATCAATTTATAGGTACGGAGTGTCTAGCAACAAGCCGTACCCGACAAATGGACTCAACTATACGACTGAATCAAGATCACATGGTCGTAACCATACCTCACCCCACCGATACGACCATGGGCAATTATACGTGTCAATACGATTACCTGGATATTACCCATAATTACCAATTATTTTATTACACTTTAATGAATATATGCAATAAGAAATCGTGCGATCGATTGCACCAGGGTGTGATTCCAGGTCACCAACAACATATAATCAGCGATCGTAAACGGGATCATTACCAGGATAATTATAGATACTATGAGTCGTGCGTGTATAGCACAAACGGGAGTGCCCAGGTGTCATTAGTTACCGCTATGTTGAGTGCATGCTTATTTATGCTCGCGCTCACTTAAGTAATAATTTTATATTTGTATATTTTCATATAAAATCTAATAATTTTGAGAATGTTAAAAATTTTTATCAAATTATTCTGGGTTGAATACTATCTGAAAGAATTTTAAAAATATTCCCATTGATAAAGAATTTTGAATGTTTTAAGTTTTAATAATACTGTATATTATAATAATATAAGTTAATAATAATAATTTCCATAATAATAATAACATATAGCAATGTGTTACATAACAAGTTGTAATCATTTAAAAATCTTACCAATGTCTTCCAATAAAATTGTTATTATTGGTCAACATTTTGGTGTACTTTTCATCGAAATATTCAAATGTTTAATATTTTTATTTTCAATACGAAATACACTTCCTTTCAAAATAAATACTCTGTATTTATAGTTACGTATAAGCAATGTCATTTAGTGCACTACAGGTACGTATGCATAATGTACTGTTACGCACATATAATAATGTACCTGTATTGCACCCGTATCACTGCATAAGGTAAGTACATATACGGCATTCAATAAACAATTTTTTAATAATAGATTTTAACATCAATATGCAAATGTTGCGCTAATGTTAAAGTATTAGGCATTTGTTTGTACTGTTTTGTATGTGTAATAGTGGCCTAACAGTGGTTAAATGTAAAATAACAGACAATTTCTATGAACATATTACTAATTATTAATCTCAAAATTATTTTGCAAATTCACTAGCGGTCAAAGGTTACACCATTTGGATTAAGAATTAGTAATAAGTGGTAAGAATGGTTGAGTTTTGATGAATACTGTCATACAGTATATGAAACACAAGTTTGGATCAAACATTTCAGAGACTATCAATTCTATGGTCATTCAGATTAGTATTATTAATGCATACATTTTATTCTGTTATTTAAAAATGTGAAAATAAATTTACTTTTGTGTGAATACTAAACTGAATGACCCCGTGGAATTTAGTCCTTGACTAATTGCGGTTTCCAGCTCTATGCATTCTTTAAATACTTTATATACTGTAAATAGATACTTTAAATGAAATATAAATAAATAAAATTAGTGCCTTGCCAAAGTATGAATCTTTTAATTTATACAAAATGTCACAAAAGAATTCATTTATTTTGGATTACATTTTGGTGTCTATACCGTAGATATAGTCTATGATTTGATTTCACATTCAATATTAAAATAAATCATTTTAGTAACTAATCTTATTACATTTAACGAATACAACTCTTGCATTGCTGCTTAAAGTGAGGTCCCGGGGCATTCAGTTTTTCCACTATCGTGTTACACGTCGCTATCTCCTATGATATATTTCAAAAGAGTTTACGTCACGACTAATTAAAATCACACAAACAACACGTACAAAGCACCCGTCATCTCCCTTATAGATCCAGGGTGATTGGCCATAATATTTGCAGTCTTCGTAGTGATGGATATAAACTTCTAGTTCATAAAACTGCCCGTCCGTTGACTTTTGCGTAAAACGATTACCTCTTTCTGCGGTTTGTTTGGTCCGAAAGAGAAGAGAACCGCTTCTCTCACTTCAGGATCGTTGCCATCGATAGCCAGGTATGTCTTCGGCGCCAATACATTACTATTGGTCGCAAAACAATAGTAGATTCGTATGAATGAGAATACGAAGAGTCTAAACATCTTGGATCTCAACCTACAAGTGAGCAGTAGTTTACAAATCTGTGAACTATTTAAACGAATCTATACACAAAACCTGAAAATTTTCAGTGAATTGGTTGTGAATAGAGTATTAAATTCTGGACAATAAGGTTAAGACCATATGTTTTATGATGAGCTCCGCACGTGAGTATGAAAATCGGGTTTTCTATCCAATGATTGAACCAATTTTTGGAAACAGATTTTTAAAACTAGCTTACAATTACATGACTAGTTTGTTAGGTGAGTACAATTTACACATTCAGTTACCCAACCCATTAGAACCCAAATTTAGACCAAAAATCAAAACCCATAATTATCATCAGATTCAGAATATTCTTGTATATTATTTTAAATGATCACTGTCTATTGATTTACTTAAATTTATGATATTATTTGATAAGAATGTATTGAAATGTTAACCATGTTTATGTGTTTATAATTAATAAATCTCGTGTTTGAGACACTAGAGATGTTTGTCTTACATAATAGGCTATAGTTTTATATTAAAATCAATTTAAACATTAATTTACAATAATTTGTTTCAAACTTAGGTTTATAGTAATTGCCATATTCTGTGAATTCGTGTCATTTTCATCATTCAGTTCTTAACATTTGTTTTAAAAAATTAAGTCATTTATAATGTTTTGTAATACATTTTGTGACACCTTAATAAAACTTATGTTTGATTTAAGTAATGGATTTATTTGTAATTTAAATGTTAATATTAGTGTTGACAGACTGTATGAATGCATTAATTCCAGAATATTCTCGTACAACACCTTATTTGACTGAACACTGCATTCAAAGTAAGTCTCATTAGTTTGCATATCTCTCGCAGACATTCATACCATTCATGTGGTCTTTACTGACAATTACCCCAAAACTGCAATCACTTGACGTTCTTGTAATGCATTCGTGGTTTGACCACAATATAGTGAGGGATACTCTGGGTCTCAGGTCAATCTCACACCATAGGTCAGTATCTGTCCGACCCGTATGTCTTGGGGTACTATGGGGTCCATCAACTAGAGATCAAACGCCTGTCCAATCGATTCAATTGCTGTCTGTCTTTGCTTTGTTTGAATCGATTGATGCCAACAGACAGTGGTTTACAGTTATGGCACATAAGTCTTGACTTCCAATTGAGTCCACTCTTGAGTTTCAATCGTTTCTCCAGTGATTGTCTTCGAGTGAATCCATAGTTGACGTCAATTCTACTGAACGGTTGTTTCAATTGCCAGTTCTGTGTCATAGACTCGATATTCTCATTCGTGGAATATGTCGGCGATTGTATGGATAGAGTGGACATCCATTGGCCGATTTGTTGGTCAGATAATGGTGTGAATCCAAGGGTTGTGTCCAACGATTGACTCAATTGTTAAGTTATTTCGAGCCGTGAAATGAAACTCAAGACTTGTTTCTCTCTATTGTTTTCCCATAAGTTTTCTCTTTTGATTGCCTTTGCCTTTGGTTTGGGAGTCAATCGCAGAGCACTTCTTCGTTTGCGACACATTTTGGTGACAATTTTGTGTCCATTCGTGGGGACCGACAGTCCGTTCTGTCTGTCGATGAGTTGTCACTCAGACATCAATTCATTGGTGTGACTGTCCATCACTTCGACACCCGTTCTCAGGATGACTCTCAACGGGAACTCCTCTTTGAGTGCATCACTTGACGTTCTTGTAATGCATTCGTGGTTTAGACCACAATATAGTGAGGGATGAGTCACTTGTGGTGACCATCGCTTCATTAATCGGTAGACTATTGGCACGAATGAAACGATTGAGTGATTAAGAGATTAACGAGACATCCGTTGCATGTGTTATACGAAAAGGGAGGCCAAAGGATTAGAGATATAAGGAGAGCCACATCTAGTAGTCATTCAATACATGGGACAGTAGTCGGGGATTTGGTCGCATTTAGTGATTCAGTGAATGTGTGTACAAATGGATGTTAAGTATGGCTGACGAGTGACTACTATAAAGGGATGTGAGAGTGAGGGACAAGAGTGCGACCAATGGCTGACATATGACTACTGGGGGAAAGGGATGTGAGACAGAGATACAGAGAATACGAGTGGGAATAACAAGTTTGAGAGAAGGGCTGATGAAACTCAATGAATGGAAACGACTGTCCGAATAAACCATTTATTGATTCAAATGAAGTTAACATTTGTTTGCGACAATTGGCGATCGAAACGGGAGTCAGACTGAGAGGTGGGAAAAGGAGGGCAACTGAATGTGTGCGAGAAATAGATTTCAATACATTTCATATATGGCTTATACTAACCATTTATACAACTTTATAACTGTATCACTACTACAGTACACAGTATTCATTTTTAATTCATATATTTAGGTTTAATAGCATAGATTTCATAACTTTTAAACAAAAAGTTGACACAAGTTTCAAATACTTTACTGTATTTGCCAAATTTCTAATGAATTAATGGGAAAATATTACAAATATTTGTATTCAATTTAATGTTAAGAATTCAATAGATTTAAGAATTGACTCAAAATTATTGATTTCTGTTGAGATATTGTTTGAAAACGTTTGACTTATTTGCTTTTCATTTGCTTTCGCGTAAAGATTATAAGTTTTCAAATATGTCTCTCAGTGGAGACAAACATGAGTGAGATTTATATTAAATGTTCAATTTATGTGCTTTTATATTGAATGCATTGAACACTAATATTGAAAGCAGAGTTCAAATGAATGTCTATTTTGAAAGCATTACAAATATTTAAACAAATTATGAAAATATGACAGCATTTGACAGATTATACTAATCTTAGGACATAATGAGTCTAAAAGACAACTCATTTCTCACATTCAATGACCACATCCACAACCACTGCAACAATGATCTCAAAGACGACCATAAAGTGGCAAAAGTTGTGCTCAAAAGGCTATCCATTGAGGAGATCCAGAAATAAGACAATTATTCCAATAATAAGTATTTCAATGCAACCGTCGCTTCCCTTCCCATTGAACCCAACGAGAGTGACATTCAGTGCATAGAATCGCAAGAATTCATGAGATATTAAAATATCATTCAAACCAATCAATTGGAGACAAAACCAATGAAAGCACTCAAAGAGGAGTTGTCGTTGAGAGTCATCCAGAAAAGGGATGCCAAAGTGGTCGACAGTCACACCAATGAAGTGATGTCTGGTTTATTGTTTGCAATACAATATCGCGAGCTTTAAAGATATTTTAATTAAAATTAAGACAAACGTATTTTTATACAATAATTTTGTCATAATATACAGTAATCTGTTGGTTTTTTTGGTCGAACTATAGATATAAATTAATAAAACAATTAATACATCAAAAATAATAATACTGTAGATATTTGAAGTACTGTATACCAGTATTCCTGTATAGTATACACGGTGTATACTATACAATAGTATACACGGTGTATACTATACAGTATCCAAACGTTCAAAAAACTCAAAATATTTTTAACAGCAATTTCTGAATGAATACAAACAATACTTCGGTAAACGACTGAAGAAACAGTGTTTGAGTGAAGTGTCGGACGAATGGGACGGAGAGACTGACTGACAGTGAGATCGAATGATGTCTTCTTCGGGAGGTTATCATATCTCGAGGTTTGTAGGACTGGACCCATGTCTGGCCAAACACTTCACGTGCAGTATATGTCTCGATATACTCAAGAGTCCGATGGAAACGAAATGCAGACACACTTTCTGTGACCATTGCATCCGAAGATGGCTGCAGACCAACAACGAGTGTCCCGTTTGTAAGACAATTGTCTCCAATGGGGTCACCAGAAGCTCCGCCAAGAGCTCACTGGATGTCAACTTGTTTGCCAAGAATGTCATCAATGATCTCAAGTATAACTGCTATTCCGAGCGAAACGGGTGCCAAAAGCCAAGTGAGATCCAATTCCTGGCCTCACATCTGGACATGTGCGAAATATATTTGAAATGAATTTTCTTAAATGTCTTTTTAATTGTAATTATCATTCAATTCTTTAGATTTCTATTTAATGTCTTTTTAGTCAAGAATATAATCTCGTATTTTGGGACAAATAATACATTTTTAATATCTCTTAATATTTATCACTTTAATAGAGAATATTCTTTATATGATTATAAATATTTTAAATAATGTCTCAATTAATTGCATTATAATCTCAACACTGATTACTGCCATTTCAATCAAAAGTATTTTGTTTTCTTAATGTATATTATTGTCATATCTTTTGATTAAAATTATGTTCAAAATATTTCCGACTTTTATTTTATGTCTCGGAATCCATGTATGGATTCTGGAGATCAGCCATCGATTGCACAGGATATCCATCATTTCAAACTCGATTACAACACATTAAAAACATACAATTTATTGCATATTTCAATGCTATTCCCAATTCATTGGTCTACTATTAGATGGTATACTATGGGATACGTCTCTGAACTGGCAGTCAGTGAATGTTGAGTTGATTACAGTCGCGATCATTTGGATACTGTTTTGAAAATGTTTCCGATTCTCTAAATAAAGGCACACTTCCTTTATTTGCATAAATTAATATCGCTTTAAATATTACTATTTATTCGTTTTAAAAACTAAATATCCTGACTAGTTTAGCACTAACTGGTTATATTAAGCCTTATTATATAAGTTACTATTTCTTTAAGTTACAAAGTTTACTAAATTTAGTTATTATGTATTGGATTGCTTTAATTGTTTGTATGTTGTATTTGCCACCTGACACGCTATGTGGAACTGATAAGGGTAAGGGATATTTTAATTTATACATAGATGCTTATACATAATTTAACTAGGGTGTCCACTTAATGAGAATATACTTACACATAAATTAATATTAGTTTTATTAGGAATTTATCGTCCAATTCAAATTAATATCTCATGAATTTGTTTTATGATGGTTTATAGGTTCTATCATCCTACCACCCTGGGACATATTACTGTATAATGACAAGTGTACGTTTGAGTACAGTAACGACCGAAAAGTGGACCTGTATTGCACTTTTCCCCGAACCAATTACACCACATTATACTCGATTAAAATGTTTAAAAACACAACCTTGTTATACTCGATAGATATGACAAACAACAATGGTGAGTCGGGTGAACAAGGACAAAAGTAAGCAATAGCTCTTTAATAATGATCAATTTATAGGTACAAGTTGTCTAGCAACGAACTATACCCGACAAATGGACTCAACTATACGCCTAAATCAAGATCACGTGGTCGTAACTATACCTCACCCCACCGATACGACCATGGGCAATTATTCGTGTCAATTCGATTACCTGGATATTACCCATAACTATCAATTATTTCTTTACATATTGATGCCTATATGCAATAAGAATTCGTGCAATTTTGTTAACTGTTACCAACGCCACATAATCAGCGGTAATAAACATGATGATTTCCGCACTGATCTATATCCTGGTATTCCCGACTATACGGTATATTCAAACTATGAATCCTGTGTGTATAGCACCAACG